TAGCACTTTTGTGATACAGCTTTTATAGAAACTTTCATAGAACCGAAACTTCTTTAAGTTTTGTTTCGATACACTTGTGAAATGTGTTGTTAATGCAAGGAATTGCTAGCAGACAGAAATTCTAGCGTGAATTTGTTTATGTTGAACTTTATTTCAAACAGGAAGGCATAGCGGTGGGAAGGACTTTTGCTGCTTTGAAGAACTACCAAGTAGATGGTAACAAGGAAATGATGGCAATTGGGCTAATGAATGTAATTGGCTCCACCACTTCCTGTTATGTTACAACAGGTGCTAGCATATGCAGTCTATTATCCTTTCTTTTCTGTTATGCTGTTAAATGCTTAAAAATAGAAGACATGTCTATGGTATTCTAACACAAGTTTGAATTTCAGGAGCTTTCTCTCGTTCGGCTGTCAATCACAATGCAGGAGCAAAAACAGCAGTTTCTAACATTGTAATGTCAGTGACGGTTATGGTGACACTCCTTTTCCTAATGCCTCTATTCCAATACACACCAAATGTTGTATTGGGTGCCATTATAGTAACAGCAGTGATTAGCCTCATAGACATCCCAGCTGCTTGCCAGATATGGAAGATCGACAAATTTGATTTTGTTGTGATGTTATGTGCATTCTTCGGTGTTGTTTTTGTCTCAGTCCAGGGCGGCCTTGCCATTGCGGTGAGTTTTCAGCTCTTAGATAATGTTTCTGGAAGTCTGGAACTAAACCTGTCCAGGCTTGAAAAAGTAACTAGGAATGACGTATGGATAAGGATTTAAGTTGTTTGTATGCATTAAGCCGAAGCTGCTTTTCCTTTTTTCCAGTTATCTTGGGAAAAGACACTGTAAGTTGATTTCTGCTTTCATGTTATTGATGATGCAAAACAACCGTGATGCTGTTCATGAACAGGTAGGAATATCAATATTCAAGATCCTTCTTCAAGTTACAAGGCCAAAAACTGTGATTCTGGGAAACATACCCGGGACAGATATATTTCGTAATCTTCTCCATTACAAGGAAGCTATGGGGATCCCTGGTTTCCTCATTTTGAGCATTGAAGCTCCAATCAACTTTGCTAATACAACCTACCTCAAAGAAAGGTTTGTTTGTGCATTCAGTAGCTCATAAAGCATACTTGCATTTTTCATCGTGACTACAATAATTCTCCTTTAATTTTTCCTTCTTTTTTTGAGGGTAACGTTCCTTTAAATATGTAATAGGATTCTGAGATGGATAGATGAATATGAAACAGAAGAAGACATAAAAAGACAGTCGAGCATTCATTTTCTGATCCTAGACCTGTCAGGTAAGATATTAGCACTGTTAAGGGTTATCTTGAAACTGTCTCAAAACAGAAAATCTTGTGTTCTCCCTGTTATTGTTTCCAAGCTTTATAGATCACCCAAGTTCTTGCGCGTCTGAAATTAGACTAGCTATTAAAGGAACATCTCACCTCAAAACTTAAGCTGATAGGTAAAGTCCTAGAATATAATTTATATCAGTCTCTAACACATCCCCTCAAGTAAAAGCCATTTGGACTTGAAATTTGCACAGATCTATATTGTCTTGTGCTTAATACTTGAGAAATTGAGGATGGTGAGACTTGAACTCAAGACTTCTTGATCAACCAAGCTCTGATGCCATATTAAATTACCATCTCACCTAAAAGCTTAAAAGCTTAAGCTTTTAGGTTAATACTAGCTCTTTCTTTTCTTTTCTTTTCTTTTCAAGAGCCTGCTATGGTTGCCTACGTTAATTCATGAAGTCCTAATTGCAATGAATTATAGTCATACCATCCACCAGGTAAATTAATCATAATAGAGATACTCCCTGTGCTTGTTTCCAGCTGTCAGCGCCATCGACACAAGCGGAGTCTCACTCTTTAAGGATTTGAAGAAAGCAGTGGAAAACAAGGGAGTTGAGGCAAGCACACAGCAGTTCTAAATCGCCTTTTCTTTTCATTTGTCTTGCCTTTTAGTTGATCCTGCATCTAATAGTTGGTTTGTCATTTACATTGCAGCTTGTGTTGGTGAATCCTGTCGGGGAAGTGTTGGAAAAACTGCAAAAGGCCGATGATGGCCGCCTTATCATGATGCCTGATACCCTTTATTTGACAGTAGGAGAAGCTGTGGCTGCACTCTCATCAACAATGAAGGGCCAATCATCAAGCCATGTGTAATAATGAAAGAATTAAAACAAGTTTGATCGCGATTGATTTCTTATTCGACAAAGAAAAACATCAATTGTATCAGCAGAGCAAAGTGCAAAGATCAGCATTTCATGTTCACCAACTTGAATGTAATTGCATATGCTTAACATGGCACTTCTTGGGCATCTTTTAATGCTAATGTTTCTTACAGTATAGCAGTGCTTCAAAGCTCATACACTATGCACTATTTAGAACTCAGATTTTGCATCCTCTTATGTCCAATTTATCTGCTTGTGATACATAACACAATGGTATTGCTTTTTTCGAGATCCAAGTTAACTAATAGCACCGATGCTCTAAATGGTGGTAATTGTTTTTTTTAAAAAAAAAATCTCCAAAGGTTAAAATCTCAAAGTAATCACCAAAGTCCAACTGTCTCAATCCAAAAATTTGACTTTAATAGAAAAATTCGCATGTTATATTGAAGATTAATTTCTTAACAACGACTTCAAATTTTGTTATACATTTTATTATTCTTTCTTCTTTCATTGGAGTTTCATATATAATAATAATCTCTTAAAATACTGCATATAAATAATCTCATTTTTTTTTTAGAATATACAAAATTTTAACATTCATTCTCAAATGTTATCTTTATTTGTAAGATTTTTACGAATAATTTTCTTTTATTTTAATAGCACTATTAAAGTTATAGTTATGATTACAATTTTTTTTCTTTGTTTTAATAGTAAAGATAATCTTAGTTTCCTCCTTTCACTTTCTAAATTCGAAACTAAAATTATCAATATGGGTTTTTTAAAAAAAAATATTTAAGTAGGCTATTCAGTATTTACACATAACTAGTGCATTAAAAAGAAAAAGAAGAAAATCCTTTTAAAAATGATAGTAATTTCTAGTTTTCTACCGTATGCGAGCACTTAGCAGAGGGCATTTTAATTGTTTGACCAAAAAGTTGCACTTTGGTTTCCCTTCAAAGGAAAAACATTATTTCAATCACAAACTTCATTTGTGTTGCAATATTGTCCCTGAATGTTCAAAAGAGAGAGAGAGAGAGAAAGACGATGAGATCCATTCGAACCACCTTAATTTTTTAAAAAATTCTTAATTTGTTCTTCTTGAAGAACAAAATTTATTTGTAGTGATTACAAATTATGAAATGGTTTAAAGCGAAAGATCAAGATTTTAATTTTTATTTTAAGTTTTTTAAGTTTGACTTAGATTTTTATGTATTTTTCTATATTAAAAATGAGTTTTAAGATTTTAAACGAGTTTATGGACCCTATTTCTATGATTTTGAGGGGGTTTAGAGCAAAACAAATTGGGTTAAAGAGACTGAAAATTACAAAAACTTGTTTATGAATGTTCCAGCCACTAGAATTGGTTGAAAATTGCAGATGGACGACAGGTAGTCTGGTGTGCAAAGAGAGGATGATGTGTCATCCGTTTTCTATTTCTTTTTTACTCTGGCCTACACGAACCTCGAACTAGGCCCAAGCCAGTTGACTTGCGCCTTAGCTGTTTTTTTTTTTTTTTTTTTTTTTTTTGCTTTTTTTCAATAATTTTTTTATTTTTTATTGAGGATTTTTTTGGTGAAAATTATGGAAGATGTAACGTCTTGTTTTGTGTTTTTCACACAGCCTAGAAAAAATAAAAAATATATATAATATTTTTATTTTAAAATGAATATATATTTTAGATTATATTAATGTTATTATTTAAAATTTATTCTTTTAATTTGTCATTTCTTTTAAATCTCACTTCAAATAATTTTTTTTATTTTTTATAAAAATTTATTTTCTGATAAATATGATTTTTTTTACTCTATATTTGAATTTTGAAGTAATTTTTTAGAACATCATTGTTTTTTGTTTCTTAAACAATAAAATTATGTAATTTATATTATGTATTGTTATAATTTTTAGATGATTGTGTTGTGATTATAAATATTTATTTAACTTAAAAGTTAAAATTGTATTTCAAATAATTTGTCTCTAATTTTTTAAATATTTTTTTCTTTATGTTTCACACTTTAAACCAACTAAGCATAATCATAATATATTAAAAAATATTAAATCATCAATTTTATAAAAAAAAATTAACTATATATTTATACACATAACACTAACAGCAACCATTTGCTATTAGTTTTTTTTTTTAATATCATAAAACTAATTTATTCGAAATCAAATAATTGAAACAATTTTAAAAGGAATCATCCAATGATTCAAATATATATATTTTTATGCTAAGATTATTGATTATTTTTTGAATAAATATATATAAATCAAATGAATATGCTTTTAACAAATAATTTTTTATCTACATTAAATAAAAATAATTTTTTTTATATACTCTCATGAAAAATATATTTTTATAGCATGTTTTTGAATTTTGGATTAAATTTTCAGTATAGTTTATTACAAGCTTTAATTTAAGAATTAATATATAAAGAAAAAAAATCATTTTTTTTCAATTGAAAAATTATAAAAAAAACATAAAAAAATGATTAACTACAAAAATTTGATAAAAAAATTATAATTTTTTTATTTTATTTTGATAGATATGTAATATATATGTACCATCGAGCTAGAATAGTTTTGTTCCGTTCGATTCGAGATGTTATGTAGTGGCGACCAATGGTAGAAACGTATACATATTAATTATATTAGTGTTAGCGCAGGCTATATTTATATTTCCCATAATTTATTTTATTGAGGTAGGATCGCAAGTAATAGCAAGAGCTGAATTTTTCAGTCAGTCACTTTTGAGTGTTGACAAACAAAACGCAAACGACGCACAGTAATACAAGAAGGAATTCTTTGCAAATTCCAATGGGAAAAACCGAAGAGGCAGATCCTCAAAGCCTGCAAAAATACGGCGTTCCTTTATTCTCTGCTGCTTGGCTTCCTTACAAAGAAGTCAGATCCAACCTTCAATCCCATCACGATGACGTCGATTCCTCTGAACAACAGGAACAGGAGAAGGAGGAGACCCCCGAGGCCTCTTCTTCTTCCTATGAATACTACGTCGTTTTGGCCGGCGGTGGTGGTGAAGGGAGCAGCGGCATTCCCAACGCCGTCCTTCTCTCCCGTTTCGATTTCTCCTCCAATTCCCTTTCTTCTCAGCCCGTACTATTCTTTTTAAAAGATTTTGCATCTGTTTGTCATGTTTTAATTATCTTTAAAATTTGCTCTGAAATCTTTTTAAATTTATTCTCAGCCTGCTTATAATTTAGAGTATTAGCTGGAATATATTTATTTCTGTTGTATAATCTTAATCATAATAATGAGATAGGCGGAAGAAATTGGAATCAGATTGGTGACTGATTGATTGATTAATTTGGTAATTTTATTGTTTGTGTATTTCTGTGTTGTGTTTCAGATAGCTAAGCTTGGTTTCGGTTCTGATGTACCCTATAGAATGGTAATTATCCCCGGTGGAGATGGACTCATCTGTGCATTCCCCAATAGTTGCCGGTACTCACTCTTTCTAATCACTGCAATTGCTGTCGAAAAAATGTTTAACCATGCTGAACTAGAGAAATATCTTTATAAGGTTGTCAATTTAGTGCATTCCTTGATTGTTGTTATTAAAAGTTTGATTTATGGCAATCTACTAGTATCACCACGCTTTTTCTGAAAGTTTTCACTTTCTAGTGTCTAGGTTTCAAGAGATTTTGTATGTTGATTGCTTGCATCATCAACATCCTCCATGTTGGAGATAGTTCATTCTACACAACTAACCACCATCCCTGCCACTTTGGATCCGTATCTTTTATCTATGATTCCCTGATGGAATAACAAATGAGAATATTGAGCAAGGATCAAATGAGTATGTGCAGTCAGGCAACATAATTTACTCTAGCACTGGTGAGTATGTGTAATCAGGGAATGAAGAAGAATCAATGTAATTAGAAGAGTGATAATGTAGAGGTTAGATTTTCATGAATGTTGATGAGAGCTAGGAGCTTTGGTGCTGTATATATTACTAATTTTAAGAGTTCAGATCAAATCTAAATGTACACAAATACATGATTTCTTTTGAAAGATGAACCTCAAGGTGCAGATTTTATGTGCTGCATAATCTAGGGTACTTATGTGGATGTGCTGACCGATAACTGCTTGAAATCAACCCGGCTTCTTTTTAACTTCATCGTGCGTGACTTCCCAGTTTACTTAGTCTCACAACTTCCCTTGCCCTGTTCATTGCTCATAAATTTGAGGTCGTAAAGAGTTCCATTTTCGTACAGGGGGATATAAGGGAGGGCTGTAAGTTTCACCTAGAGAAATGGGTTAAGACAAAAATCCTTTAAAAGTGGTTGGTTTGGGAATTAAGTTGCTTGTGTATTTTAAGAAAGTTCTTCGAGGTAAATCAGTGTGAAAATTCATGTTACAGAAGCCTTCCATATGAAGTGTGGATCAAGAGAGTGGATGTCTAAGAAAGTGACGGTTTTGCATGGAACCAGTGTTTGGAAAGCTACAGAAAAGTTGGAAGTAAGTTCTGTTGTTTGCTGGATTTGAAGTGGATTGTGGAAAGAAAGAATTCTTCTTGTTTTGGCAGTCATTTTTTGTGGTAATTCACCTCTTAAGACCAAAATCCTTTATTTTGAGTTGGATAAGATAATAAAAATGAAGACAAGTTGGGAGATTGATGGGAACATCACGGAATGCTGCTTCTGGTAGCAGTGTGCAAGATTGGGAGATTGAATCCTTCCATTACTTTTTCTTAATCAATTTGCAATGTGAAGACTAAAGTTCTTTTTATTTATTTATTTATTATATTAGCATTGAAGCCAGCTTGGGGTTTCTTGAAGCAGTTGATAAGATTTTTAATCATTTACTATTACATTATGTGTCAGCTGGGCATTTATAGGAGTTGATGGGGCAGCTATATTTTTCTCTTGGGCTTATGGCCAGATGAAATTGGTATGATTAAATGCTTAGCGAGAGTAGTGTTTTTGTACTAGCCAAATAGTATACAAAACAAATGAGCTTCTGTGAATAGTCTCTCCAATTGCTTTGAATGATTTTTGGGAGGCTATACTTACTGGGATATGAGGCAATCCTTTTCTAGTCAGGAGCATTTTTAAAACTCCATTGATTATCTATTCCAAATGCAGCCTAGCTGCTGTTTGTGTTTATATTATGGTCTGATTTGCTAAATATGCATTACAACCATTGTGCCTTTTTTTTTTTTTTTTAAGAACTCTTCCACCTTTACTTGCACCAAACAAAAGAATAATCAATTTATTACTATGTGCAGGTTTTTTGAGTGGCATGAAGTCAAGGACAATGAAGACCAAAAATTGGGTGTTAAACTGTCTGACAAAGTACTGACACAATTAGAAGATGTTGGACAGCAATTAGCATTGGCCTTTAACAATGACAGCTCTGTACTTGCTGCAGGGGGCGAGGTAGAGAGATTCTTTGCATTTCATTCTGTTAGCTTCATTGTAATTGCCAAGTGACATTAAGTGAAAAGGCTTTCCAAACACATGGAAGACATGCTTAAAAGATATTGCTTTGTTTTTCTTTTCTTTCTTTCTGCATAGAGGAAGTGGTTGTTTCTACAATCATATAAAGGATTAAAGAATTAAACTTGTTTAAATCTCCAACCCAGTCTGGTAACATGAGAATCTGCTAATAATTCATTTCTTCCTTGTTTTGTACAAAAAGATAAGACTGCTAGTCGGCTTTGATAATGTATATAAGACTGATAAAAAGTCTGGTAGGGATTGTATGAACCAAATTGGCCAAAGAGGAGTGCAGCAACACCTACCGTCTAACATAGAATTTATGGCACTTTGGGATTAATAATAGAATTCTTGGCTTCCCTTCATGGTTAGGATTGATAATTTTATCTTTCTCCTTGTTTATGTGGTGTCTTTCTTATTATTAGTTCGATCAGTAAAAGAGAGGGAAGGATGAAAACAGGAGTGAGATATAATCCATGTAATTCTCAGAAAAATAAAGGACAAGGAAAACGTTCATTTTTGTAGTAGAGATGCTACAGTATTGTGCTGTGGACAGAGCACATTTTAAGTGACTCCCATACAGAATACGTTGTGCATGTTTATATGACCAATTGAAAGGTGCATGAAAGGTAGGGCTTTTTGGTCAAATTTTTCTCTCCCTTATCTTTCACTGTTTTCTGATGGTTGCATTCCAGCTTCTAATTATTTTATTGCATTCTAGTTTCTAATTTTAATAGTTAAAGATGAGTGGTATGTAGACGTAGTTTGTGAGGATTAAGTTATGTTCCACCACTCAATCTTCCAATGTCAAATTTTAGGGCTTGCCTCTTGGCCATTCACCTACCAATCGAAATTTCCATAACTGGGTCTTTATTTTCAATGATAATGATGTTGAAGAGAGCAAGGATCCCTTTTTTAAAGATAACATGCTATATGATGCTTTAATTTTGGTGCAGTACAGGATGGCAATTTAAGGGTTTTCAAGTGGCCTAGCATGGAAATTATTCTCAATGAGGCTCAAGCCCATGCATCTCTGAAGGACTTGTGTTTCAGGTTGGCAATGATATTAGGAAAAAATAGATGGTCTGTCCCTGGAGATTTTAGCATGAAGAATTTTTAATCTTTTACACTGATTAGCTTAATTGTGTTGCAGTCCTGATGGAAAATTTCTTGTTTCACTGGGAAAGCGTGACCTCGGTAGAGTCTGGGATGTAACTTCATCGACGGCTGTAGCCACTTTATCAAAGGAAAACGTAAGCTGTAAATGATAATTAGCTCTTGACTAAATTCTTTTCTTACTAGTAAACTGCTTTGACCCTGACTTCATGTCAAAGGGGTCATAACCTTCCTGCTAACATACCTGTTGTACTTATTATTGAATTCATTTTTGGTGTCAGCAAAAAGCATATTGAACAAATTACTCGAAATTAGTTTTGGGTGATCTCATGACTCAATTAATCTAGGTTACTTATGGTCTCGCAATTCATGGCTACACTTGTAATAAATCTCTATTTCTGTAAAATGAGTGTTGAGCTAATTGGATAAATTGTGTTGTACTTCCAGGATGAGATTTTTGCCTTGTGCAGATTTTCTCAAAGTAGTGATCAGACTCAGATTCTCTATATTGCTGCAATAACAGGTGAATATTCATACTGAAAGCCAAGTTTTCTGTGCTCCCTTTACCATTTTTTTCTCTATTAATAACCATAGACATTGTTTTACGTAGACAAAGGTGCAAGTATTGTGACGTGGAACACAAGCTCATGGAATAGAGTGAGCTCAAAGCCCGTAGCCCGTGAGCCAGTTTCTTCCTTCAATGTCTCACCTGATGGAAAGCTTCTTGCAATGTACATCATCTTCACTGTTACTTTGAGGTCCTTGAGCTCATTTAGCAAGCACCTTAAAGTTTAAAAATATTCTAATTTATTGTGATTGATTGACAGAGGTTTGACTCAAGGAGATGTGCTACTTATAAATTCGACCAACATGCGTGTTCACACAATGATTAGGAAAGCACATCTTGGCATAGTAACAGCGTTGGCGTTCTCTCATGATTCAAGGTTAGATGACAACATTGTGTCTCCACGTAAACTTGAATCAACATTTTAATTGAGTTATTCTCCTCTAGGGATGACAACTGACAGTTAAAAATGTGTTATTTGAATACAGGGCTTTGGTCTCTGCATCTATGGACTCAAGTGCAAGGGTGACACTAGTGGAGGACAACAAAAGTGGTATGTACATTGAGATTCAGATTTTTCTTCCTGTCATTGGTAGCTCTGCAATGGTTGGACATAGACCTGGTAACTCAGTCAGAGACTAAAATCTCTCTGCTACTTTCATTTAGGCAATCACGAAATGACTCTGCCCAAATAATATGGTAAACTGACTATTTGGTATGAGTGGACAGTGGACAGTGAACTCAGAAAGTAAAGTGCACACTGCCAAATATGAGGATACTTTCGGTGATGACTTTTACATGCTAGAACCATTGTTTCAAAACTTACTCTTTCTATTTATTTATGCATAAAATTTTGTGGTAATTCACCAAGAATTGACACACAGCTTGCAGTTTTTTTACAAAAAAGGATAGTTTAAAGAAAACTAGAATGTTGGACCTGGAAAGAAAAAGGGATTATACTGATCGCGGAGGCAGTTCATGCTCCCAGCCTCCTTAGGTTTCTGAAAAATTGGGCATTTAATTGATCTTTTGGAGGGAATTAGTATGATATGTGAAGGGTGATGGACTATGAACAGCAATTATCTATATATAAATATATATATATGAATTGATTGGGAAACCATTTTCGGCATTTCCCTTGTTCTTGACATACTAGGTCTCTCATTTCTCATTGCAAGGAACTTTCTTTTCTTTCTTGTTTAGCTGCTGGAGGATCAAGGTTGCGGATCATTATATTCATCATTATGCTTGCAATTGCTGCATATTTCTTGAAGAATCAAGGAGCTCTTCCTTTTCCTGGCTAGATATTGTAGGCTATACAAAGTTAATGTGAATTTTACTACTATTTATGGAATCAAGGAGCTCCTTTTCTTGGCATGATAGGTCGGCGCCTATCAGAGTCCAATAATGGCGATATGGTTTTGAGATTGTAGTCTTACGTGTCATGAATGACACATGGCCTGTACTTGAACTGTGACACCAAATTATGGCCCCTAGATCTGAGATCGTTTAATGGGGATGTGGATTTGGATCGATACTCTTACTTGTCTGTATGAACTCCAACCCTGATATCTGATCCTATGACATAGGACCACTGATAACCTGGTTGGCTTTTGTCGTGTTGATTGTGCCCCAAATCATACAATTTTTCCGCAAACCAAATTATTATGTCACTTTTATTCCTCTTTACTAAAATTTGGTTATGATAGTCAAATTTTGTTGTATTATTTCATGTTAATTATTTGTGATAAATAACTTTTCCTGGTCCAAATTCCCTAATAATTGTAGGTGGTTTTTTTTTTAGTGGCTTAGATGATAGATCGTCATGTAAAAACTGCTTCACTACTATTCAACATTTGTTAGGGGAAAAAAAGAAGAGAAAGAAAAAGGCTTGGTGTATCTGTTTTAGATTCTGTTGTCGTTGAAGGAATATTAAATGAAAAAACTTAAGAGTGGGAGGGTTTCACTGTGCAAGTACTTAGCCTCTGACTCAGTGCTAGCTTCAGATTCAGTTGCATTGTCGACTGTAGGCCAAACGATACAAAATTTTACCTTTTGATTCACAGCTTCGTTTGTGAGATACTTTGGTCGCTCGTGCAGAGAAGGAAAAGAGAAGAAAGAGAAGGGAGGGGAGAGAGAGAGTGCCGGTCCGGTTACTTTGGCTGGTAATATTATACTTAATTTGTTTATTTTAAAGAGAGGAGTTTGTCTACTGTGGTTTTAAGTTATCAAATGATTGAAGAAGGTAAATTAGAGAAAAATAATAATAATAATAATAAATTTTTAATTGGATTTTGTCTTTTTTAATATGCACTGAAATAATTTTTAAGATTTCAAATGAGTTTATTGAATTTATTTCGGTCAGTGTTTGGAGAGAAAATTAATACCAAAAATGGGTTTTTTGGGATCTGAAATCATCTAGTCAGGGACTTTCCAATAAACTTCAGTTTGTGGAAAGTTATAGTTTTTTTTTTTTTTTTTTTTTGGATGGGACTGGTCAACTGCCCAGGCCTGGAGAAGTAGCCCCAAGCAGGGCTGATCTAGCTCGCATGAGCTACCTAGAGCTGGCCTGGCGCACAGGCTTACACGAGTAGACCCAAGAGTGTGTGCCTGGTCTGGTTTTTTTTTTTTTTTCAACGATCTATTTTTAATTTTTTTTTATCATGGAATTGCGTATGAAATTATAGAATAATTGATTGTTATTTTTTTTAATTTTTTTATACAGTTTCATCATACTGAAATATATATAATATATTTTAAAATTTTAGATTTAACATGCATATTTGATTATATTACTCTTATTGTATAAATTTTATTTTTTTATTTATCATTTCTTATTGAAATTCTCATCAAATTAATTTTTTAATATGATTTTATTTGTAAATAAATATGGTTTATATTTTTATGTATGAATTTTGAAATAAAATTTTAGAGCATGATTATTTTATCTTTTTTCATATATTATTATAATTTATATGAGAGATTATCATTATCTTTAAATAAGAGTAGTATAGTTGTGTGTGTGTGTGTGTGTGTGTAAGCTAAAAGTGTTTTTATTTCAATATATCGACTTTAATATATTTCTTACAACTTAGGTAGGTTTTTTAAATATTTTTTTTAATTAATACTATGCATTCTAAATTTGTTAAGTATGATCATAATATGTGTGTGTGTTTAAATTATTAGTTTTATTAAAAATTAACTATGTATCTGCACACATAATACCAATTATTTATTATTTATTCTTTTTCATGTTCTAAACTCGGTTTTTTAAATAAAATAATGGAAATAGTGTTTGAGAAGAACCACCAAATTACTCAAATATAATTTTTTATGTTAATATTATTGATTATTTTGTTAATAAATATATATAAATTAAACGTAAATACTTTAAAAAAAAAAACAAGAACTTCTCATAAACATTAAATAAGAATAAAAAAATCACATGTTAATTTGTATACAAGTTTTTATATAATTGTTGCTTTGTTTTTTTGGATACAATTTTATGAAAAAATATTAAAGCATTTTTTAACTTTTGAATTAATTTTTCAAGTTAAATTATTGTAATTTTTTATTTAAGAATCAATGCTTGGGGAAACAAATTGAGTTTTTGTTTTTTTTTTAAATACGAAATTTAAGAAAAAATATAAGAAAGTAGAAATTAAATATAAAATTTTGATTAAAAACATATAAAATTAGATGATTTCACTTGTTCAACCTGGCCTGCAATGTAGCATGGGCAGTGAGCTAGTTTATTCTATATTTTATTAACTCTAATAGATCTAATAACTGAAATTATACGAAACTTAGATGAGTAAATTATAAGTTAGTTTTCTTTTGTTTAGAGAAATGAATTAATCAGTCATTTTCTTTTTAAAAACTAATAATTCAGTTTTTTATGTTTTAATTCTGTCAATAATTTGGTCTTTCATTTTTTTTATTAGTTTAATGATTTTTTATCCGAAATTATTTTATTGCTATTATTTTGGTTGACGAGAGAGAAAAAGGGTGGGTGGAGGAAAAAAAATAAAGCTTCTAAGAAAGTGTAATTTGAAAACAAAAAATCACTAATCTAATAAAATTGATGAAAAGACTAAGTTATTGACAAAATTAAAATGTATGAAACTTATGAGTAGTTTTTAAAACAAAGGAGAACTAATTTTTTTTTTTTTAAGTGAAAAGGATTAATTTATAATTGGTTAGAAGGATCTAACCACTCCTAAACTTTAAGTCATTTATGATTGAGTTTTTTTAATTTTTTTGGTTAGTTTTGGACATTTTTGAACTTTTAATTTTTTCAGATTCAGCTCATCTTTCAGTTTTCTATAATTTATATGATAAAATAACAATCACATAAATAGTTTCAAAATGAAAATCATTAAGTGAAATTTCTGTAAAATTCCTAAAATTATTTTCTATTTTTCTTGTTTTTTAAATTTTAATGTTCAAAAATAAAAAATATATATCGTTTTTTATTTTGAAAAATTCTGGAAATTTTCTACAAAATGGAATGAATTTTTTTCAACTTTTTTTGCAAAATTTTAGTTTAAAATATCAAAAATTAAACTTTTTAGAGAAAAAGATAGTTAAAAATCACGGGAAGGACTAAATCTCAAAAATAAATAAAAGTTCCGGAATCTATAAAATCAATAAAAAAAAATCCAGAAACTCAATGTTAAATGACTTAAAATCCAAGAATGGTTTGATAGTTTTAGCCTTTATAATTTACTCAAACTTCCATAGAAAAAACAGTGGTCGGAGGTAGACGTATTTTATGTATGCTGTTTGTCTGCTTAGGATTTCACTATGGGCTAAGCTCCATGTATCTGGGTTGAGTCTCATTTATAGTTCTTGGGCCTAAATATCTGAACCATGCAAGGGGCCTCTAGGCTGTAAAGTGTAATCTGATTTTGTTGGCCCCTTTATCACCTGAATAAGTACGAGTAAATTATAAATTAAGCCCTCTAGTTTTGCGAAAGTAAATAGTCCCTCTCTTTTCAAAAAATAATTAATTAATTTCTTGATTAGAGTTGACCATGGTTAATTTAAGACTATTTTGTTCTAAAAGGATGTTTTCTTTTCTCATCAATCTTTCCTTACTTTTTACTTATTTTTTTCTTTTTCTATTTATTAAAACAAAAATAAAATAAAATTGAATGAAAAGAATTAAATTGCATAGATTTAAAAATATAGAAATTAATTAATTAGTTATTAAAAATAAAGTAACAATTTAATTTCTTTTAAAAAGCTAGAGGGACTAATTTATGACTTGGATAATTGATCACCTTTTTTCATGAGAGAATTGTCACCCACTTGCCACTTTGATAAAAGCAAGAGGAAGATGGTGTGCACAATAGACCAGGGTTCGATGTTACCGAAGTTTGTATAAAACTAACTTTCCTATAATTAATTGTTATCTTCCGGCCCAGAATGTCACCTAGAAAATTTATTCCAGGATCGGATCATCCTACTTAGCATTATGCTGATCCAACAGTATCAATGTAGACTCTCATTTTTCTTTTGCTTTACGGATGATCCAACAGTATCAACGTAGATTGTCATTTTTCTTTTGCTTGACGGCCGAGGTTATCCTCAGAGCCAAATTTTGCATATCAAGGCTAAATCCACCTCTGGTCTAGTCAAATACATGGCATCTTCGTCAGTAAACACACAACAACAACAACAACAACAATAATAAATAAATAAATAAATTTTGCTGATAAGAGTGCATTTGCGCCTTTCCTTCATTAGACCCAGGTCTGTTATTGTTCTCCTCTACCTTAAATTTTTGTTTATTACAGCCGCTGTTCACTTAATGTTGCTTAAAATCTTAATCTATGTAGAAAAGGGAGAGAATTTTATCCTCCTCTTCTTACCAAGTACGCATTTCATACGGAAATTTTCGGCAATTAAATGTCCATATCAAGATGATGTTCATGAAAGAATAAAAGCCAGAAACCAGATAGGTAGCATGTCATGGATAAAGAGAACCGTGATTCATTTTATTCCCATCAGCTGTCCTGCAATGGATAACTGGAGTATCAAGTTTCAAACCATGTGGAGGGCCGGGGGGATTATATCATATGATGTTTAAACCGAGTCACAATATAAAATCAAATGCTAAAGCTTTGAACCAAAAGAAGAAAACGAACGAACTGTTTGCTCAATTTCAAGAGAACTCATGTTTTACTCTCTGAAGTCAAATAGTTATTCTCATTTTTACCGAATTTAAGTATTTACAAAGTGGAGTAATTGAACAACCGGCTCCAAGTTCGTTGGGGAGAAAAAAAAAAAAAACAATAAGCTTCGAGGTAAAAACTTGGGCAACTCAAAAGTGATATAAGGAGAAACATGCAACTGTTGTTAGAAGTTTCTGTTAGCCCAACATTCCCAATGACTACTTCAATCCAACGAGACTCTGTTACTTTAAAAACTCATAACACATCCGAGAAGTGTCATTGGTGTTTCCTTTGGTAAAGCGAATAACCAACAAAGGCAGACATCAGAAAAGTCCATAGCACCTGCACAGTGAAGGCATTAACCAGTGGAACAGGAATACTATACAGTTGGAACAGTATTACATTTATGTTTAACCAAATGGCATAACGACCAATGGAACAATACAAGACAGAAAAGAAAAGAACAACAAACAAAACAAAACAGAAAAATTTGTTTTTGATCAAATGAAATTGGGACCATTCAGCTTGCATGTCAATCCCATTGTTGCAACATATAGTAACAGATTTGGAGTTGCTAACATGGTCCACAGTTGCCATTTTCAAAAATCAATTTCATTGGAAAAGCAGGCATTTAAACTTCCAAAAAGAAAAGGTAAATTCGAGAGAAACCCAAATCAAAACAGCCACATGTATTACTATGGAATTGTAGGTACCGTGTTGATAGTATGCCATCTTTCAAGTCTTTTGATTCTAGACTGCATATCCTCAATTATTCCTTCTAAAGGAGCAGCCTCCCTACTCGGAGAGGATTCTGATGCTGAGTTGCTTCCCTGTCAGTTAGGCCACAGTATTATAAAAACAGTGAACTCCTCAGCGACTCAACCTTGAATATATATTAAGGGGTCATCTCTCACACAATGGTCAACTCTTTTGGACTAAACAGAAAATGATGATCAATGGAAGCGGAATAAGGTTTCTCTCTCACTGAGCAGTGTGTAAAGTGGAAGATGTCCTGGCCCTCTATCAATACATGCTGCCTATTTCAACATATAAAATTGTACCAGACTGATCTTACACTAATTTTCCCACATCAAAAATCAAATGTCGCCACCAGATGGCTGCTATCCCATTCAATCATAGTAAAATACCTGAGATTGTATAAATTCAACAAGTTCCTGCAACCTTGCAGCTTGTTGAGCATGAATTCCACTGTAATTTCTTTCCATTACTGGTAATATTTCCAAAATGATCTGCAGATAACTCTGAAAGTACAACAAAAGAGCCAGTCCAAATAATGAGAGGCCGAAGTAATCCCAGTGCTGAAGATAAAACATACAAGCAGAAGCAAAACCTTAGTTGTATATGAACCATCCAGTTTAAGTGTTGAACCAGCTGCCGCCACAGCTTCTTTATTAACTCCTTTGATCTGTAAGTAAGGACTAGGGGTGTCTTGCAGATGATCAACCTCAATGAGAATCTACAAATCAGAATAAAATGAAACTCATTTAGAAAGCAACACCTATGACAAGCTTATATATGACAAACAGAACACAAGTAGCATGAAATACATGAAAACCAAGCATCAGCAAGCATTAGTACTTAAGGTTATGGAACTAATCATAAGGCACTGAAATCCAAAACTAATGGCAGTTAATTTTGTTGATCAATATCTATGGTTAGTACTTAATACAAAATTTCCTTCGAGACAAGTTTAAGATAAGCCAAAGCTCAACTGGTAAACAAAAAAATGCCCCCAAAACTATAAAATATGTTGACAAATTTAACAAAGTAAAAAACAAAAAACAGAAGAAAGGACTACACAATCTTGAAGCTTGGACGTATAGATTACACGAGGTTATAAGTATAACAACAAAGAAAAATCCATGGATATTATACCTTTCCATCTTGGTAGATATATGCAGATGCTTCAATGTAAGCTACCGCTTGATACCTGACATTGGATGATCATATAAAACACATCAATGATTTGTATAAAATGCATCAGCTGTTCGGCTGCAAGGCATTAAAAAGAACACTACAATGCTTAAAACAAGCAGAAAATGCTACATATAGCCCATTAAAAGTAACAAAACTAAATGATACCTTAGTAGTTTCCAAAATAATGACATACAAAATGCTAAAACAACAGCTTTTTGTTTGTTTCCAGCAGTTCAATTTATATAAATGCCTAAAAGAAAAAAATGTTCTTCACTGACATCCAGAAGATGGAAGGATTTCTCACATACTGTGATATAAAAGCATAAGGATGGACCAGTGTGTCCACTTGGTCAGGGTGTTGAGCATGCCAACTCCCCAAATAAGAAGACAGCGTAACTCAACAATTTAGATATAAACACATACTATAACGGTTAATTTTTGTCTTAACTGGGAATGAAAATGGGAAGATGGGTTCACATGGGAAAAAAAAAAAAAGCAAAACCATACACCTGGTCTTACCCGAGGTTAAGAAGGCCAGCAACTGTGTTGATGCTAATATCAAAATCCACTTTTGGTTGAATAATGAAATTCCCTTCTCTTATAGGCTAATGTTGAGAACATTTGAAAATAAAAGTCAAGCATTCACTAGATATCAAAGATAGAAAATACATTAAACATGTTTATATACGAACCTCCCGTATCAACAATGCAAATCTACCCTCGCAGATTCTGACTCGTATGCAGTCACTCTCTGCCAACTGCCCATTAGTAGGAAGTCCAGGGAGCCTTAAATATATATCAATGAAATTCTGAACAGAACTGCACAACTTCACAGGATCTAGAATTTTCAAAATATCTTGATAAGCCACCTGTTATTGACCACAAACAATAAAAGTATGTCAGACGCCAACCACCAGTACATAATCTTCCACAGAATCATCAGAGTGCACTTACTTGCTTATTACTCTTCAAGACGAACAAAGAACTCTCAGGGGAAAGAACAGGATCAAAGTCATTTCGAATTTTGAGCTGCATTGATATAAGAATATTGAAAAACCTCAAAAGTAAAACTTGCGAATAGAATATCGGTCCTCAGGAATGCATTGTAACAGAACATCAGTATTTTGAAGAAAACAGTAATGTTTACGAAGGGATGTCTATCATCACTAACTACAGTTTGTACATTTCCAACATAAAAGATGTAGACAATTTAATGAGAGAGTACACCAGTATAAATGAGAAAAACAAGAATGGTAGTCTTCTCCTGCAAGACCTGAAACATTTCTATCCAATCCATTTTGATGACGATTTGAACTTCTATTGACACATTGACAATGATAAATTTGATCATTGGTTGATTAGACAATACATGATTAATGGCATTCATTTTTTATGCGACAAACAAATTGACCTTAATCTTGTTTCTTGGCCAGTCAAGAGATCTTAACTTTTACTACTAAATGTTATAGATATTTCTAGAATTTTTCAAGAGGATGTCTCAATACAAGAAGGCTTATATTAATAAGTACATGTGTCTCTGTTTGTGGGAAGATAAAACTATTGGGATGAACAAAATTTAAAACATGGCAAACATTGAAATACTTTTCACAGTAAAAAATCAAGGAACAATAAAAGATCAGACAGTTGGGGTCTACTAACATGCGCATGAACAAGATGTGGTTCAATATGCTGCTGAAAAATTGGAAACACTGTCATCATGATCTCATTTTGGGACATAAAACAGCCCACTCTACTTTTATCCCTTTGAACTCGAGAAATAAGATGCGAATGAACACCACCAACCTGTTTTCACAAAAGACGAAGTTACTTCACAATTAAACTTTCTCATCATCAATAGAAAACGTCTTTAGAAATCGAACACACACACACACAATCTCTCTGAAAATAAAGCCTAAAAAAGGGATTGCAAAGTCATCTTACAACAGCAACCCACAAGTCAAGAGATTTTCGGATTTCAGGATGCAGAGCATACACCCCTTCAAAAATGATCTAGAAAAGAAACAATGATTTAAAACAAAGTCAAATAGCATAGCATAAACTTAATCAACACTATTGGCCAATGATTTCATAAGTAGAAATATCAATTACTATGATCACATAAAACCGTAAAGATGCATTCCGTGAACACTTCTTTTCTAACTAGCATGCATGAACATGAATAAAACTTATGCCCTGTGTGGATCCAATTCTACCATACATGGTGAACACTGAACAGCCTGCATATAATGTAAAACTGAAAAGCAGTAAGCAAATAATTTTGACAAAAACTATGTTTGACCCTTCTTAACAGCTTCAGGTTTCATTTTTGTACTAAATTCGAACTCCACTAAGCATTTATCTAAAAACACTCCTGAAACAAATGCAGCATTAGATACAAGTATATAGCACCAAACTTCAATATACAACGTGGGAACAACTGATGACACAGCATTTAGAGCTCAGTTAAGTCAATGAGAAGCAGTTCTAGTTCAAATTTCTGCAAGAGTCACTGCTTGTTTGTAATAAACATGCCTCGTATTAAACAAGCTTCAGCATTTTGAGGGAAGAAATTTAGTCCCGCAAGTCATACTGTGTTTAGAAGGTTCACAGGAAGCCATAGTTAACAACATAAGACATGATTTGAAAGATATTGGCAAAGTTTCAAACTGGTTGAAATAGCTTTTGTACTCTTTCCACTTCCTTCAGTTTTCACCACTCTCCTCTTTTTCTAGTGTTATCTCCCTCTCATTGAGATTGATAGATACAAACATTGGTGCACCCCGTCTCTCATACTTTCCCTCTATCCAACCCCAAACCACAATTTTCAGGAAAAATAAAAAAGGAGATACTATTATTAGAAAGAAAGAATTGTACAGAACAAAACTGAGAACAAGACATCCTCCCAAAAACGGAAAAGGAACAACAATCTTAATCTAAACAATAAAGCAGTCCAATCGTTTAGAATATCCGCTAGAGAAGTGCATTTAAATGCACCTGCCAGATTAACACCACAAAGAAGCAAAGAAAACCATCTTATCTCACAAATCCAGCTTAAATGTGCAGTAATTATAAAAAATCCCCTGCATTTCTTTCCATCCAAATGCACCAAAAAACTGCACTAACAGCACATCTCCATAAGGTCTTGCAATATTTCTCCCTTTCAAAACTCACCAAAGAGACCAACAAATATTCACTACCTTTCTCGGGATGACCTAAGACTCTCAACCAAATGCAAACCACCTTTGCCACATAATCCAAGCTGCAGGACACAGTAGAAATACATAACTCTGTGATTCTCCATTATGATGGCACATAAAACGTTGATGAGGAGATAAGACCTTCTGAAGCCTTCTAATTATCGAGAGCTTAAAAAGACACTTTGCACCCTTCTCAAGAAAAGGAAAATTTTCATTATTTCTTACTTTGAAAAGGTAGCACCCTAACACCTACAATTGGCATAACACTTCATACTAGGCTCAAATAGAGATAAATTGTCCTTGTATATATGCCTACTTGCAGAATAATATGAATCGTTAAAGCCACACTAATGGGATAAATTGTCCTGAAAAAGAATCTAGTGGATCTCAAGCTTCCCGTAAGCTTTTTTTTATCACGATAAGAAGTCCTGAATCACAGAATAAGGTTCCTAATTGAAACAACACTCGAAAAATTAAATGACTTGGGTATGTAAACAGTGGACTGTACCGTAAGCCCATCTCTGCCTCCCCATTGACCCTTTGGGTTTTATGTCAGAGTGTAATCAAGCGATATCTTTCTTTTCTTCTTTATAGAAGTTTAATTAAATGAAGGCTAGAGAAGCGTTATTGTGCAATGCATCACTGAAAAATGAAAAATAAAAAATAAACCCAGGATGGCAAGTTCAGGAGCAATATAATTAAGTGTAATAACAAACCACGCCGCAATCTTCAGAAACTTCAAGTTCTTTAAATCCGCTACGAGCACCAGTCTCCAAATCAAACATGGGTACTTTTGTTCTTCTTCCATTCCTTATGTCATCAATATTCTGAAAAACAATGATGAGAATAATGAGTGTACGTGAATGAATATATTTTTTTCCAGCAACTGACAAGACAGACCAAGTGAAATAAATGTAACTTCTGTTCAAAGCAATTATCTGCAATTCTTACCAGCAAATGTAGAATTGATGTCACGCTATCTATAAGCTAATTTACAGAAGAACAAAGAATATGTATCTTCATCATATTGTTCAAGTGAAGATGCAAGCATATTGTTTGACTACGAAGGAAATTTGGCGAAATAATTACATTTCAGGAAAAATCTCCCAGATTTCAAGTGAAATTACAAACCAACTAAGCAAATGATAGATCCTATTGAACCCTATGCATTAAAAGAAGAAAACTAACAAATCAAAACAAACGAACAGTTTGTTCCATGCAGGAAGGATGTAAAAACAAGTATATGCCAGGTTGCTCTAATGAAGGATTTAAATATTGCAAAGGGACCAGCTAAGGCTAAGACGGTTCGATATTCTTGAAAATTAAAAACCCACAATGAATGAGTATTCAAAAATACCCTTCTTTTCCCCAAGTCAAACCATTTAGAGGGAAAGAAAAGAATTGTAGTTTGAAAAGACAGAACTACTTTCATGATAAGGGAGGTCAAGAAATGTTTATTAACAAAGTGAGATCAGGAATATAAATTGATAATCCAAATTATCCAAGAATTTGGAGGATCCTCACACATCATTCTAGATGATGGAGATGGATGCTGGTGTATAAATCTCTACTAAAACCTGAAAGTATGAGACAAAAGCTTGACCAAAAAATGAATTTTTACATTTTTACTCCAACTCTTTGCTCTACAATATTTTAACATTTCCAAGCAATCTTATCTGACCAGCCATCCAACAAATAATAGCATTACTAATTTACAAAAGATCTGTATAAGATGAATAAAATTAATGTCATCCTACCTTCGAAAGCAAAGACAGATCTAGAGAGCTAAAGTCATCATACTTAAAATCTTTCACTTGTTCAGATTTAAAATAGCTTTCAAGCGAAACTACTTCACACCCAACAATGTTAGCCATTTTGTGAGCCAGACTAGTTTTTCCAGATCCACTTGGGCCTCCTGCAACAAAAATGAGACAGTAACAAAAAAGCAATATTTATGAAAAACAAAGCAAATTACTAAAACCAAACACAATCTGACAGGAAATTGATTCCTCAAAGAAAGTTCTTCTCTTCCAAGAGGAATTTTATGATTACAATCATTTGAGCAGCTTAATATAGAATGTCATAGCCTCCTTTGAAACTATAATGATAAAAAAATTGCACAAATAGCTCTTGCAATGCATGTGTGGTCAAACACAAAATAGACAGGGTTAGAGGCAGTAAATATCAAATAACCACCGCCACCATTATGGGACAAGAAATAAAAAAGATAAATCTAGTCACCATCAGTGGTCCTTCAGGTAATCAACTCTCCAGCAAACTACGACACGAGGGAGATGGTATTCTTCACTAACAGAAAACATTCATGACAAATAACACTAAATCACGAGCATGTGAGTGTGCATGCATTTTTATCTCTAATATACCTCCAATGTTCTGCAGACGGATGGGAATAATGAGCCACAAAAAAAAGCACAAATATAGCATTGTTTCCAAACCTGAAGGTAGATTCGGTGCACATCATTATTCCTTGTGCAATTTTAGAACAAGTAGAGCAAATAAGAAAACTTGTAATTTGTCATAAGATGGATCTGGACAGCACAAAATGTCATCCTTACATTCTGTTACATTCTCAGCATCATCACCCATTTGCTATCATTTCATTTGTCGAATGGAAAATAATTGGTTACTTATCAATTTCCGATTGGTAGAGCCATTTAAACTATCAATTCTAACAACAATATCTGTACAAGTGGCTGCTGGCATGAAGTCCCAACGACCACCTTACAATAACAGGAATCACTCATATGGTCAGTTATCATTATATAGGCACAATAGCTCAAAGCTGGTATAGAACTTTCTTATAATCCCTCCAGGCTCCAGCCTGTAAGATACCATAAGCTAGTATATAACAACGAAGAAGTATTTTTGAGCTCTCAAAGTTTTAGCATATCAATCTTAGCACCCAGTGAATAGTAGGTCCACTAAGCTGAAGACGGTATCTATCTCACCTAGAACTGAGTACTGTTAACAATGTAAATGTGAAAGAGGTATGATCTTTCACATCAATATTGTCTTAAAATTATTTATTCTGTATACAAATATCTGTCTGCAATTAAAATTACAGTCAAACCAAATTAATTACCTACATATTACTATGCTCATGCTTCTGGGACCATCGACATAAGGAGATTTAATTGTGCGCTCGGCCATGAAAGACATTTATGAACTTGAATGGCACAAAAGTTTGCACCAACTGAACTACTATCAAGAACACTCCATCGCTAAAAAAGCACATGGTCAAAAATTCTTTTTTTGAAATGTGTAGGTGTGTATCAGAGAGAGACTTTTAAAGCATAAATTACCAATTCCAACAATGACAGGGGGACCTTTATTCTCCAACAAAGCCTGAAAAAAATATGTAAAATTGCATAAATTTTTACCAGACTGATTGTACTGGTAAGCTTCTTAGACTGGAGCATATATAATTATTCTAATCTACATTTGAATTTTTTTTTTTTTTTAACTCATTACCTGTATTGCTTGAACAGCAAGAAGCAATCCTCTATCCAAGTCATATGAATCAGGCATAGGAGCAAGCTTCATGTTATCCCTGCAAGAGGAAGAATCTGTGGTTGCTTCATGAGAGAATTCTGAACATGAAATGTTATGACAACACTACAAAAATATAGTCCATCCCCAAAAACACTTAAAGAACATTTGTAACGGATCTTCCAAGTAGAAGACACTTACCTACGACTGAACTCCCATGTGATGTATCTGACGATATAAAATGCCAAGTTGCTACCACAGGCTCCAATTTAGATTTTGTTGGAGACCGAGTCCATGGCTGAGATAAATCCTCAAGGCAATTAACAAGGTTTGGAGTGGTACGGATTGGCCTTGGGGCAACAATGGCCCTTTCTTGATTGCTTGTCGTAGAAGTATTAGGCAACAGTGGTGGTGTATTAAGACGTGGTACACCTGCAAGAGGAGTAGCAAATTGTAGAAAGTAGTAACATTTGATCTATATCAGACAAACCAACCAAAATGCATAGACACAGTGTATTGATTATTATCATGCCAGTTCCAACCTTTTCTCTCAAGAATCATTTCCAGGTATGACTTAGTGATCCAAGGTCCACTAACACCCATCCTCATTGCCTCTGCTCCAACAGTCTACATGAAAGTAGAATAGCCAAAGATAACATGTAAGCTTTGGCCAACAGTTCTCAAGTGGAAGTCCAAGGACCAATATAATTTTTGGTACTGAACCAGAAATAGCACATAAAAGATCAGCTATTTACTATGAGAAATGAAAAGTGCTAACCCAGTTACTATCATATGTATCATGTAGATAGGAACAAAAAATGGATGATACTATTTAGAGGAAACTCAAGATCTGTAATGAAACATGTCATCCAAAAGATGGAGTAATGAGTGAAGATACAGCACTAGAATCAGCCAGTTCAGTTACATGCTAATCATGTACACTACATAACAAAATAAGAAACCTCCATCATGATTGTTAGGAAGCTTCTACTAAAATTTCGCAATCAGAAGATCCATGAACTTCCGTTTCTGTTCACCATGCACAGCACTCATTATGAAGAAAAGATTTTCCTTCTTTCCATCTCCCTAAGCCAACAGAAATACTTGATGCTTCATGCACTCATGTGCTGGAAGTTATCAAGAATCATTATTTGCATAAGTTTTTCGTTGAAAATCCTGGTATAAGATCATGTTTCATGCATCTTTGTGGTGTAACAATCCAGGGGCATTTCGGGAAAATCACTAACTTAGCAGGATTGGAGCACTTATTATTCATTGCATGTCTCCCTTCACTTTCTTCCTGTCACTTGCTGGAGGATATGTTACCTACAGGTTTTTGTAGATTCTAATCTTTACAATAAAAAATTCTTTATCCCACAAACTATGTGTGGGTGTGGGTGTGTGTGTGGGGTAGGTAATAATAATCATGGGAAATAACTATCTTATTCTACTAATTATCCAGTACCTTACTCAATTGCTTGGCAAAATATAAGAACACAAAACAAATAAATGATTTGTAAAGCTTCCTACATGTTATCTTAATAAGAAAAATGGATCCATACTTTTCTGTTCGTCCCCCTCAGCACCACAAATGTCTCACCAAGAGTATCAATGGTCTCTAATGACATTGAAAGATTGCCATTGCTAACAGATGAAGATGCTCGTTTATAACTCACTACAACAGTGTACCCCAAAGCCAGCAACCCACCAAGAGTCATTCTCCCAACCTGTCTCAACATTAAATGATTAAATAGGTAAGCGAAACCACCAAAAGTTAGAAATTTTATGAAATATTACAGTCTAGTTTTAAGAGAATTGAGCATACATTTCAAGTTGTCCTATAAAAATAGATGCCAAATAAAATGAGAGGAATCTGTAGATTCCCAACAACATAAATGAAGATGCATTAAATAACTCTAAGCTACCAGTTTAAATACTGATAGGATAACAGCATTAACTGGAAATGAAAGAAGCATATGCGTCTTGAATTTAGGGATCACATTCTCAACTACAATTGTCTAAATAGTATGGATCCTGTGCTGAAGCTTCCAGAAGACAACAAAATGTCCTTGTAAGCCTTGGAATTTTTTTCCCTTTTATCCATTTATCATGAGTTTATGTTCATTGATTGATTGATAAGATGCCTGAATAGTGTACCCAGCCATTTGTAGTTTTGAGGAGGAATGATTATTTCACCCATACCTATCCACCATCCTAAAGATTATGCAAGGTAACTAAGGTCCATGGATTTCCTTCTACTTTAAAGATGATTGACATTAGTCTTACAGCTTTTTTGGAAAGTTGTAGAGCTATAGATTAGCATTTATGTGTTGGGTGAGAAACGAGCCATTACATTCAGTACATTGCCCACATGCGTTCATTTCTATCTGAAAAGTAATACTATAAACTTATTCCTCTATATTGGCCACAAGTGTTCATTTCTATCTCAAAAGTAACATTATAAACCCCTTCCTCAATCAGGTTTACAGTTACATGTGAAACACAATAGATTGCAGCATAAACTAACAATCAAATTCTATTTTGATAACAACCTTTGCTTTTTCAGTACATGTTTATGCTGGAATTGCAGACTGGAAAGCCCCTTACCTCAAACTCAGCTTTTGGCCTGATAATAAAATTTTTGTCAACAATTCTCTGGTCCCCAAGTGACAAATAATATTTGATACCAGACTGCCGCACCTTGATCCAATCATTTATCCGTGCTTCTTCATTTGCTGAAGGAGGCCTAAGGTACATCTCAATAAAACTGCAACCAAGATAAAGTTCCAATCAAAATTTGTGGCATTCAAAACTCAAGAGAATAAAACAGTTGGTTTTGCACTATATAATGGTAAGAAACAGAAAGAGAAGTGAAGAATCACTAACTTATCTGTATGTGCTGTTCCTTGGAAGGCATAAGCAGGATGTCCATCTGGTGACTGTCGCAGCAGTTTAGCATTTAAGTAACATTCAATCAGAAGGTGCAAGTGGTGAATATAAAATTAATAGCCAAAGATGGACTACGAATTTAAAAAGAAAAGGAAGGTCGGTTAAGTCCACAAGCAATAACAAGAAGTGCAACGCAATGCAGTTCCAGAGAAGCATTTGATAATTGACATTCGAAATCATTCAAAATCAACAAAACAACATATGCATCAGTCAATGCTTTAAATTACACACTTGTTATTAATGCACGGGCCACTGTTAAGAAACAGTTTCTCGCCATGGTCTATGCAGCATATGCAGATTTCTTTACCATCAAAACAAAAACTGAATATTACGGAAAATCTTCAGCCATCAACAAAATTTTCGAGACCATCTCACTCACACAGTGAACATGAAGGGCATAGGTGATTCTCAATTATTTAACTTAGCATTGAACTCGGAAAGATGTATATACCTCACTTCTGCATTTTAGCTTATAGATCGCTTCTCTAAATGATGAGACAAAGCTGTTGTTTATTCTAATCTGCAGAATAAAACCCCAAAGATAAAAACCAGCATTTTAAAAAAATGGAAAAGATAAGGTCAAGAGCCCCAACCTGTGCATGGTGAAGGTCTGGCTCAATGTGTTTCCTAAACAGTGGGAAGATGCTGTCAATAAGGTAATCCAATGAACAAGAATCCCCAATGTCATATCGAACTTTAGAAAGAAGACTGAAATGAACTCCGCCAACCTGATCCACCAACCATATTTAGAATTCATCATATTCGAAGCTGTAAAGAAAATAATAGCTTCACAGCCCCTTATTCAAATCAAGATATAACTTCAGAGTATGAGTTACCACAGCAACCCGAATATCCAGTAAAGAGCGCAGTCTTGAATGCAGAGCGTAGGTACCATCAACTATTACCTAAGAACAAAAAAACATTAAAGAAATGAACTACATAGAAGCAAAGGATAATCATAGTTACTGTTAGCTCTATTGGCTTACCACTCCAGATGATGCGCTCTTTATTCCTTTGGAACCAATACGTCTCTTTTGTTGGTAATCAAACACTGGTATCAAAGTATCTTTTCCTTTAGTCAAATCCTATAGCCAACACAAACAACTGTGTAAAGATAGACAAAACCAACTTTATGTAGAATGCATCAGCATAACTTTAAGTGAGGTAATATTGGTTGCTTGCTTAATAAAGAAATTTTTTCGACGCCTGACCAGAATGGGTTTCTCAATAATTACACTTAGGTATTTCCAAGAATTAGACTATAGAATTGTCACATGCAAAATCCAATCCAATCCAATCATGTAGCAAAATTTGAGAAGAAAATGCAAACCTCAAGATTTTGTACTAGTGCGTCAAAGTCAATTGAATCCAAGTCACTCCCATCATCAACTACCGTGCGATAATTCTCCATTGATATAACAACACAACCAATTACAGACGCCACCTTCTCTGCTAAGCTTCACAGATCATCAAACCAACAAAAGAAAATCAGAAACTATCAAATAAAGCAACAGATTTTTCAACTATAGAAATTCTAAAAGTGAAAAAGAAAAGAAGAATTCTACCTCGTTTTCCCTGAACCACTAGGACCACCAATGCCAACAGTAACAAGCCCTTCCTTTTTCTCTCTAAGCTCTTGAATAGATTTTACCAACAAATAATATCCACGATCAAAAGACTGCAACAAAATAAGCAAGAAAAGATATTACCAAGCTAACTAATATTCAAAATTTTGGAAAATTAGACAAAATAAATGAACGAAAATGGAGAAAAAGCATACCACATGGAGAGGGAGAGATTGAAGGATGGAGGAGGAAGAAGAAGAGGAAGTAGAAGGTTGTTGCTGGAAGTAATCGCGTCCTCCTTCTTGGAATACTCGCTGAACAACCTCATCGTCCATTTGTCAACACCCGCACCAATCCTCTCTCTCTCTGATTGCACAGCAATAGATTCCACAGCAATAGCTTCGTCTGGCTAGAGAAAGAGAGCGAGAGAGAGAGAGAGAGAGTCAGTTTTATTAATAAGTACTGTTGCTTTTTATTATTCTGGTGCCTTTATTTTCAACACTTTTGCTTGCTTGCCTCTGAACGCTAACGCTCGTTTTCCTTCCTTTCGACACTTTAATTATGGGTTAATTGCATTAAAACGTTATTTTTCTGATTTCCTTAACGTGACTGTACATTTTTTATTCAACTTCTTAATGAATTATTCAAATTTTCTTAAGGTAACTCCTTCAACTGTTTTTCACATAATTTTTCATTTACAATGGACATCTGATAAAAAAAATTTCACGTAATATGACAAGTCAGAATTAATTTTTTACGTAGACCCTCCAAAAAAATATTTTCGGAGAAGGAAAAAAAACTCTAGGTGTAAAAACATATCTTTTTCTTTTCTCTCTCTTGCCCTCGGTACAATTTAAAACTTCCAAATTGATTCTCATATCGTAAAAACCCTAAATTATATGAGTTTATAATCTTTGTCATTGATAAGTAGAAAATTAGATGATGAAACGAATTCACAATCCTCTACTATCACCAACAACTTCGATGAAAAAAGATTTTGTATAATTTGTGCTTCTTCACCACAACCCTCTATATTGAATTATGAAGAACATGTTATGATATGTCATTGTAGTTTGAAGATTGCAAAGCGGATGTCATGGAGTGATAAGCATCAAGGTTTTAGGTTTCATCCATATCTTATACGGTTTGCTCACAATGGTAATTAAAAAGTTTTGTTGTGGTTATTGGGTATAAAATGATGACTTCATAAAAGACAGAGCTAGGATGATTGTTTTTAGAATGAAAAATAGACAAAGACAAATTTATAAAGAGAAAAAATAATTGATGCAGGAAAACAATGAATTGCTTGTAAGAATGAGTTAGATTTTGCTTTGATGAAAAATGAATAATTATTGAGTGAGATAGCAACACAAAAAACAAAAAAAGAACATATCATTTTGACAATGAAAAAAATTATGTAATTACAATTATGAGTTGTTGAATTTGTATCACATATGAGTGGTTTTACTTGTAATTATGTTGATTGTTTGTTAATTATAATAATATTTTTGTAATGGTATTAGCTTGAAATGTAGACTTGATTGTGTTATATTTATGTAATTGTGTTGAATCTTTGTCATTTGATCGGGCATATTATGTTCAATTTTGTTAATTCCTAATTTCTCTCCCATTATTTTCTTGTTATTATTCTAAAAATATAATAATAATAATAATAATAATAATAGCAAAAAAATAAATGAAAACAAATAAAAAGAGAGAGGAAAGAAATCAATTTAAATAAATGATTCGAGTTACCTAATTAAATTATAAAAAAAAAAAGGAAGAAAGTTCGAGAACTAGAATAAACCCCGATCGAAGGATAAATAATTAAAAAGTCAAAAAATGCCAAATCCTTAAATTAAAAAACAAAGGAAAGGATACAATTTAAGAGAAAAAATTAATTAAGAAACGCCCTAATTAATCATAATTTGGGAGCCATTGAAGTTCGAACAACCAAATTATGTTTAATTGGATGAATTATGAGGAATCGGGGATCAAAATCCATATTCGCCCAAAATCCTAAATTTTCTCTATAAATACCTAACCCCTTTAGATATTAAAGGAGGACATGGATCCTTAAAAAAGCAAAAAAAATAAAAATAAATAAATCTATAAAACAAAAAGTCAAGGCAAATAGCCGCTAAGGACGAATCAACCGGGTACTTGTACGATTGACCCGTCGGACCGGTCGAATTTATTCTCCTAAATTGACCATCTTTCGATCGATAATACCTCCAACCACCACTATTAATTGATTTCTCACACCCGGATCCACCATTCTCTACCGAGTTGGAGAAGGAGGAGATGTCGGATCAAGGCGGAATTGATGAGAGAAAGTCATCGATCCGACCCTCTTAGCAACTCGACTAAATCTACCAATTCTAGCCAAACCACCGGCTTGCCAGCTCCATAGAATTGGTCGGCCTCCTCCACAGAGTGATTCCCTCTTGAAGTCTTACAATCTAAGTGTAATACCCGATACCTATTAAAAACCATTATTAAATAAATTTAAGAAAGTTAAAGGAATATGAAAAATTTTGTGTGGGTATGGAATAATCCCTAGAGGTTGCTAGAATATTCGGAGCGACTAAGATAGTTTTCCATGCTTAGTGAATATTTGGTGGGTTTGTTAGTGCATAAATAATGACTTTTTATGTGAAATAATTATTTTTAAGTGTGTTAAATATGCATGAAAAATGTTTTGTTTACATAGAATATTTGCTAGAGGGTCGTTAGATTATTCGATGCCATTAGATGAATTTTTTGATGTCTTGTGATTATTTTATTTGAACTTTTTAGTGCATGAATAATATTTTCTAAGTAAATTAATTAATGTAGGTGCTTTAAAAGGTATAAGACAATTATCCAATGGATATAGAAAAATCATTTAAGAGGTGTAGGAATATTCCAAGAACTTAGTTGAATTTTTCTATGTATAGGGAATATTTTTTATAGGAAAAAGTGTATTTTTACACAAAATAATTAATTTGAAGACCTAAATAAATGTATAAAAATTATGTGAGTGATGATTAAATTCTTTTAGGTAGTGTTTGAATTTATTATGAAAATAAATTGAATTTTGGAAAGGTATGGAGTAAAATTTTAGGATCGGGGATCTAATTGCATGAAATTAGGGACCTAATTGCATAAAATTAAACATTTGAGCTTTCAAATTAAATTAGATATGAACTTTAGGAATTTAAAAGTTGTTAAGAAACCTTTAAAGGAAGGACCTAAAGTAATTAATTGAATAATTAAGGGACATTTGGAGGAGTAATTAAAGGAAATATTAGTAACTTTAAGGACCAAAATTAAGCAATTTTTAGGAGAAATTTTTACACATTTTGCGGCCACTTTCAGCTTAATAATTAGAGTGTAATTAATGCATGCATAAATGGAAGGAATAGATTTAAATAGAGTGGTTAGATGAAGGGACAAAATTTAAAGAATAAGTGGATGGCTAAGATAGAACCAATTGAAAGGCTAGGATTAAAAGCAAAATTAAGGGCCAAGATTAAACCAAATGAAGGGTTGAGATGGAGTCAACCAAGGGAAAAAGTCCACCTAATTTTGCCTATAAATATGGGAGGTAGGAGTGATGAAAAAATATTGAAAAATTGGAAAATTAAGGGGAAACTCATACAAATTTTCTTTAGAACTCCACTCAAATTTTCATCTAAACGCCTAAGATCATCTAATTAAATAAGGAATTCAAGCTAGAAATCAAGAATCATAAAAGGAAAACATTGGAGTTTGGGTCACAACATAGAGGAAAAGGGAGGAAGAAAGAATTGCAAAGAGATTCAACTTTTCAAGGTTGAATTGGAGCTTATGTATGTAAGTTAGTCTCACTTACATCATAAAAAAAATTTAATTGGTGTCGAGTTGGTGGTTTATTGGTCTTAATTTGTGTTTGATTGCCTTAATTTTGAAAATTAAGGTTAGGGTTCTTAGTTAAAAAAAACTAAAAAAAATAATTTTAAATTGAAAATTCATAAAATTGAACTTAAAATATGTCAATTGAGCTTGAAATTGATGAAGAAAAATTAAAAATTTCTAGGGTTAAAAGAGAGAGAGCATTTAGCCCAAATTAGGAATTTTAGAGTTTTTGATGTTTTGCTTTGTTTGAAGATATATCACTTGATTATGTGTTAATTAGGTATGAATTGATAATTGAGTGTGAAAATTGCATTAAAAAATGAAGAATTTTCCTTGATTTCCTTTAAGGGTACATTTGGCCCAAAACTTGGAAATTTAGAGTTTTGATTCCTTTGCTTACTTAATGAATTATTAGTTACTTAGGAGTTGGTTAAATATGAATTGATGAATGAGAATGGAAAATTTCATAAAAAATAAAGAATTTCACCTAATTAGCCTAGGCCTATATTCGGCCTAATTTAGAAAGAAATTAAGGTTTGCTTACATTTGGTTAGAAATGATTTAATTGGTTAATTTGGAATTAGAATAATGTAAAAAGATGAATTAGAAAGAGAAATTGCATTGAAATTAAAAAATTAACCTAGATTATCTTAATTAGGTTTTTGGCCCATTAGCCCCAAGTTAGGGCTCTTGATGCAATTGGTTGTGTGATTATGTAATTGATGTGGTTATGATGAAATTGGTGTGATATTGGTGCCTAAAATGCGAAACGTGATGACCATAGTATGTTTGAATATGTTGGTGGATGTTTTTATAATGTTTAAACATATACCCTAACATATTATTATTTGATCATAATGTGATTTATGGTTTTATGAGATGCCTTGTGATGATGGATTTATCTTTTAGATATGAATGGTACATGATGGGTTATGTATGACAAGGTAAGGTATACACGATGATGTATCTTCATGTTATTAGTAATGGTATTATTATGAATTCAATGCACCTCATTTATGGTATTTAATTGATATGTGATACATAATGCATAAGCATAATGCATTAAAATGTATAAGCATACCGATTCATGAAAAGGTTTTAAAGTCATGAAAAAAAAGGATTTTATTTCGGGGTAATTTCCCATAGCAATTGGAAATATTTCATGATTACAAGGTTTTCATGGTTTTATGAAAGGGCTTCGTGGGTTACATGACCTTCATGATTCATGGTTCATGATTTACATGGTTCGAGTGGTGTAGACATACACCAAGGCTCAATATGACGCATCCGCATACTAGTATGGTTCGTTAGACATATCATGAAAACCTTAAAATTCCTATAATGAGAAATGTACAAAGATAAAAAAGAATTTTCAGACTATTCATGATGAGGATTTTATGACGAGAATGCAAATAATTATCATATACATTTCATTTACATACATCGAATGCATATG